CTGCTTACAAAGGCCTCCTCCCTCCCTCTACTTCAGTGTCTTCCACAGTCTTCTCCGCAGGGCCCGTGTCCTCTCTTTTGAACAGTCAGTGCCTGGAACAGTGCCTGGTACACAGAAACTACAGAGTGAGTGCTCGCCCATTGAACGGAAACCCGCATCATAAACCTAGAATCCCTTCTTAACACACGCCCTTACATACAGAGCCCACCAACTGTCCCACCAACGTCTCAACTTTGTACGTGCCAAGCTGAATTCGTTCTCCACTGCTCTTCCTCTCCACTGTGTTGGTTAGCAGATGGCTGGCTGTCTAGTCACCAAAACCAGACACCTGGGAGTCATCCGTCTTGACCACCACATCCCCCGGAGCCGACCCTCAGCAGTCACTAGGTCCTTTCGGTTCCATACTCTAGATACCTGTCAGATTCACCCCTCCTTGCCATCTGCACAGCTCAGCTCTGGTTCATATCTCCTAAGATTTTTTTTTATTGTGGTAAATCTTCATAACATAAAATTTACTATTTTAACTATTTTTAAATGTACAGTTTTGTGGTCTTAAGTAGATACACATTGTTGTGCTTACTAGGATTATTTTTTTTAAAAAGCACTATCTGGACTTCCTCCCTACCTATGGGCCAACCTGCCTCCATCCCATCCCTACATTCTTGACAATGTGATATTTCTAAAATGAAAATAATGGTACTAGATGAGCTAAAGCCCTTTCATTGCTTCCCACTGTCTTCATTAGTGGTTTCATCGCAAAGTTTGCACAGGTTCAAACTGAAGTGAGGGAATACACATACACACACATATATAGTATCAAGTTTCTCTAAATTTTTTCAACTTAAGGGTTGAGTGAATTAATGAACGGCAATATTAATCAAGATAAGAAATACTGAAACATACAAAGAAGGTAGGTTTTGTTTTAGATAAGAAGCAAGAGGAAATGACTTGAGGGCGGTTGGATACATGAGTCTGAAACTCAGAAGAGAGTTGCGATGGAGATCTGTATTTGGAAGTCATAGCGTTTAAGTGGAATTGAGGAAGCAAATAACATCTCTTGAAATCATGAAAAGTGTAAAGAAAAGGTGATAAAATAAATAGACATTTAAAAGATCAGAGAAAGAACAGCATCATAGCAAAAGAAAAAAGTCCATTTCAAGTCTCCTCACCCTGCCGTCATGGTTGAAGGAGGGCAAGATCTTGGGAACTAACGGAACACTCTAGGGGCAGCATTTTTCCAGGCTTTTCTGTCTTCTCTGCTGGAAGGATGGTTGTTACCCATCTCTCTTGAATTTCCCCGGTTCTTTCTCCTAGAAATAAAACACTTTAAGACAACTATGTTTGATGGGGTAACCTTATTGCCTAAATAATAGGAGTGGTTTTTCTGGAGAAAACTGATGAGCTGATAAGAATGCTACTCTCACATTAACAAGTACAAAAATTTCTCTCAAAATGAGGAATTTGTTCTGTTTTTAATCCTTTCTGCCACTTTGCCACAAAATTATCAAGTCTATAAAAGTAATTCAAGCTCACAAAAATTTAGAAATAAGCCTTAAAAGTCGCAGTATTTTTGGAAGTGGTATAGCACCGGACAGATGCGGGATGGTAATTAACCTGGCCTTGCATCCAGAACCCACTAGCAGTGTGGCTCTGATCAGATTACTTTTGGTTTCGTCATGGAGTTATAATGAAAAATAAATCTGTGCATAAATCGCTTCTCATAGTTCCTGGCACATAGTAGTCATTAAGTATTACTTGCCTTTTACAATATATCACAGTATTCTATAAGAGTGAAAATTAAAAGTAAACCAATTAGGAAAATTGTAAATAACTTATGGTTCATTTACTTGATGGAAAACTATGTATTTCCATTGACAGACAACAGTGTGGTGATAGCCAGAGGAGAAGGGGGTGGGGGTAGGTGGAGGTGGGCAAAGGGGAGGGGGAATGGGGACGGAAAGAGGCTTTGCTTGGGGCAATGGGCCCGCAACCCAATGTGCAGCTGATGTTTTGTTCGGTTGTACACTTGAAACCTGTATGGTTTTGTGAACCAGTGTCACCCCAATAAATGCAATTTAAAAATAAAATTTAAAAAAAGATGTATTTTGTTGTACTACATACATATTATATACACGTACCAAATATAAAAATGTTTATTGCTGAAATAGGATTTCTATCTAGAATATAGCTGTAAGTATATTTTTAAGTTTATATAGAAATTATAGCAAAAATAGGTTATAACTACTAAATCCTAATTATGTGCAATGTCATCAATTTACTTTTCTATAATTTGTTACTAAAATAATAGATGAAATAAACCAACAAATGTGTTCCCAATTTGACTTAAGTAAGAATTTGAGGGAAAATTTTAATGAAGCTGTTAAGACAAAGAATCCATTAACCTCTAACCTGAAATCTGTAATTTTCCAGTCACCCAAACCCTAGTGGAAGTAGCTTTGAACTAAGAACCAGGAAGCTAGGCCCAGATTTGTCACTGTTTTACCACAGAACCTTGCATACAAGTTTACTTGTCTGTGCTTCAGTTTCTTCCTATTTAAAATAAGGAAATCCTAACCCTAGCTCTAACCTTTTTTTCCTATTGCGTGAAGCCCTTGGAAGCAATTGCTGAGTAAAATGTAAAGTAGTTGGAGCCTGTTCTAGTAAGCGACATAATTTTTTAAAAATATTATTGATTTGGACAGTAAAGAGTAGCCTGCAGGCAAATCCTGCAAGGTGCTTCCAGAGACATGCACGCCAACCTTCCTGTTGGCACAGTGCACGTTTGGCAGGTGCATTTCATTCCTTACAGGAAGGAATAGGTGCTCCATTGTGTTTCAGAAGTCAGTAAGCTTTCACAAAACTAAGTAATTGACATTTTTCTCATTTCTGAGATCAAATTTTCATAAATCATTCAACCTGGATAAACTGAGAATGTGGTTGATCTAGTAATTGTTGAAATATAGTAAAGACATTGCAAAACATGATATTTAAGTATTTCCTCCTAACCTCTTCCCTTAGCACTTTGTTCTAGTTCTAAACTGAAAAAAAGTCCTAATGCATAAAAAGGAAACAAAAGTAAGAGGAGCCTGTCTATCTGTAAAGGAGAAGCCAAAAGAAGCACACTCGGATTCATCTCAGTAATCTGGGATTCCAACGATTCAGAACTTGTGGTGATAATAATAGTTATGCAGAATAAAGTTTACTTTTACATTACGAGGGAGTTTTTTAATAGTGCAGATGATTTTGTGGAGGAGGTATGTATTTAACCAACTTGAAAGTAATGATTTCCTGACTTTTTACAATATATGCAGAGAGAGGCTCTTGATGTCTTCTCCAGATTTCTACTGGCAGCTATTTCTCAATAGTTCATTCAAGTTACTATCATATTTTAACAATGCACTTTAAATTTCATACTGACATTTTTCTTCCCCCTCCTCCACAATTCAAGTTAGTGAAACTTTGTCTAAATTAAAGGATTTATGTAATCCTGTGAATCATAATATTCAGAGTAAATAGGATAGCACTAGTTTTTGTCAATAGTCCAACTTATACAACTTGATGTATGAAGAGAGTGAATTGTCCAGTGAATTTTCTAGTTCAGGTATTTGCACCAATAGGCTGAAGCTGTGAATGTATAATACTTAAGTGTAGCTTACATTTGAGAAATTTGTAGTAACAAATGTAGGACAGATTTGCATTTTCACTCTGAGATCATTGCTACATTCTCAAAGCAAAGATTTTTTGATGCACCAGATTCTTCCATTTCACATTTGTGTTTTCTAACAGGACTTGATATATGCAGAATCACCCAGTAACCTGGAGCTAGTTTTCAGTGTTGGATGCAGCTGATGAGTGTGTCTGAGCCAGTGTGTATGACACTAAGAATGCCTTCATTCCTTTAGTGTCTAGCTCTGTACTAAGTTTATTTGCAAAGAACCCTCATGCATGGATCCATATAAATGAGCAAGCTGCTCCCATATAAATGAGGCAGGCTGGAGCAGACTAGGCTGTTGCTCAGCAATCTAGGGAGGAAGGCTGTGTATATAAAAACTACGAGGCACGATTTTCACTTATAATGATGATTTCTCTATGTATAACACCAAGCAAGTTTTAGTTAACATTTTATACTTTCAGTAAAGAAACTAAAAGAAAAAAAACAATCAATGGTCTGATTCCATCGTCTTTTGTCAAGCAAAACTCTCACTGGTCCTCAGGAATGTGGTCTCCCTCCCATAAAGTAGCCTAAAAACACTACAGAATGCCCTTCTGAACTTTTCATCTGTTTTCAGTATAATGGGTGAGTTCTTAACTAAAAGTCACTTACCTTTGACTAAAAAGCATATGTAATCATTTCTAACCTGTTTATACTACTCAGGAATAGAAAGATTTTAAATGTAGTACAGAAAGCCTGTTTTTAGGACCATCAAATCATTTGTATATATTTAAATTATTTTCATGCCACTGAGACATGAAGTTTTTCCCACTAGCCACCTAATTCCTGGCTGGATTTTCATCAGCTAACTCTGTGAAAAAGACATTTAACTTACAAGAATTGTACAGTATACTCGTGTGTCACTTATTTAGCTAAGTAACAGATGTAAGAGTGCTTGCGTTTCTGTATTGAAATCAGTACTTCTTAGGTAAAAATCAGTTTGAAACTCTCTACGTTGACTGTGTCACCCTGTCACTGCATAGGAAATCATTGATTCACCACCTTAACACAAGCAAGTAAGTGTTGAAACGAGTATCTTCTGTATTCATGTAGCATCTCCTGCTGACATAATCTGAAGATCTGGGTTAAAGTTTGTGTTGTTGTTGTTGTTTTTTAACCTCAAATATTTGGCACTTTACACCGGTGCCTCTTGCTTACAGCGACGCTTTATTTCTTAACATGACTACCCGGATTGCTTGGTCACAGGCAAATACTGTCCTTTTTCAGCCAAAACATTCCTGACAATAATTGCACTTTATATATTCCCCTTTTTCTCCCCCCCCCTTAGGTTGGAAAGGCTGGTGGACGTCCTGAGGAAGAAGGTTGGAGCGGGGACCGTGCGGACCGTGATCTGACTGAAACAAGGCCGCCTGGGAAGCAGTCACATCTGGGGACCAGGCTGCTTCATTCAGCACTGTGTAAACACCAGAGCCTTAACTTAGCAAACAGTTGTTAGAAGTGGGACACTCCAACCACATTCCAAGCTGAGATAAAATCAAATCACAAATGTTTAACCACTTTGTTGCTGACTGGAGTTATTTATCCAAATGTATTAACTGCAGGCTTTTACCAATGGGTAGCTATAAAGTTGTAGTTTATTTTGTAACTATTTTCTGTCTCACTATATTTAATAAAGCTCTTTTTACTGAGAGACTATTATAAAAACATTGTGAAGCTGGTGGGATCATATCTTCCCATATGGCCCTTTCTGAATCAAAATGCAGCAAAGTAAATATGTCTAAACCTTAATCTGCTGTGTAAGGTCAAAACTTCAAATACATGCATTTTTCAATATAGAGTTTATTTCTTACCTGATGAGAGAAGCTCAGACATAAGAGTATCTAGTCTTCCTTCAATGCATGCATGTAATCTTTGTTAGTATTAAAGAATATTAAGTATAGATACTAAGAATTAAATGTATAATTTCTTTTAATAAGAGTTTGGTACATTAAAATTATACTAATCAAGGAATGATTTTTGTTTCAATAAAAACAATTCAGACTGTCTTCAATGAAAAGAGGATATTGTTCATGTGTACTTGCAAATTCAATATTTTTTAATGCTTGGATGGATAATTAGATTACCACTTGAATTTTTGTTGTGGAGGAAGAGAATCCAATATGTAATATACAATAAAATTATAATGTAAAAACATATGGTCTTGGAAAAAAGCAAACCTACAGTTTGGTTCAGGTTACATAGTTTTTTTTTATTTAAGAAAGAACTTAAAATAGTTACAGCATAGTCATGTCTAACCATATGAAATTATTAATAAAACTAAGATTTACATATAGGCTATAGGAGACATATCTTCATTTTTTAAGATTAATAGATGAGAGGCCAATAGAAAATGACTATGTCTAGAATTGGATGAAAAAGACAAGCAGAGATTGAATTCATGAAAAATTTTGTAGGCAAGTGAAAATTTTTCTGAGTTCATACACTTCCTTAATTCATCTTTAAGGTTGAAGTAAATGATCTATCATTGCCTGTTTTCAAGACATGCACAGATTAATTTATGCACCATTCCTTCCTACACCATTGGAGACTGTCCGGTTGAGGTTTTTTATTCTGCAGGAAGGTGGAAGGTGCTTTATCACAGAGTGACGGAGGAACTGGAAGGCTACCCCAGTTTCTTCCTCATTAAATCCTTACATTAACTGAGAGTTAGAATCATCCCATTGAATTTAAGGTACGTTGCCTGCTTTTAATTATTATTTTATACTATGCGAATTAGAAAATGAAGAACAACAGGGGTTAAAAGTAAGCTACCAGGATCTTCTCTATAGTCCTAAAAGAATTATAGCCTCTCATAGGCCATATAAACAGAGAAATTTTAAATAATTTGGTCTTACATGGAGTCTTGTCCCTGAGCTCTAATTGAAACATAACAGCTCAACTTGTGAAGGAACAAATCACGAAGGTAAGTAAAGAGAAAAATTTTGTCACAAAATTGTCCATTCTTGAATCCTCTTCAGAGATGTCACAAGGACACTTGAATTATCCATTTAGTCCTGAAGAACAGACAAGTCTCTCTGAGTTATTTTGCTTGGGGTTTTATAAAACACAAAGTGTAGATGGCATAAAGACATTTTACAACTTCCAAACAGTTCTCTCTATACCTAAACGATCAGATTAGAGCCAGCAGTTCCTGTAATCAGTATTCAGAACTTGTATAAAATTGGATATTATGAAGTTAAATTTACAAAACAGTTCAAACATCCACTATTATTCGATGTAGGTAATCACCCCAAAATATCACACATCCCCTTGAAAATGAGTTCTCTACAAAATTACAATGCTAAGTATTATAGACAACTATTCTCATTAATTGATTTCTTGCACTTAAAAATATGCACCAACAGTGTTTCAAATTGTCTCTTTTTATTGTATGAAGAAATAACCTTGTTCACTGAAGATCAGTTCTCTACATATTCAATAATAAAGCAACTTCAGAAGTATTTAAAGATGCCCAGAGATGTTTTTTTAGTTTGCTTTAAACATCAAATGTAATCCCTACAGTAACATGAGAAATCGTTTCTTGGAAAAATAAGTAGTTCAGAAGAAAATCAGGAAAATAATACAAACGTGTAGCATTTGATGATTTGCAAAGGTTTTTCGCATTTATATATTTTTTTATCCTATCAGCCATATAACAACAATAATAAATTATATCTATATCAGCCACATGATGATGATGATAATTTTAGTATTATTGTTATTACTATTACATACGTTTTACAGATGAGGAAACAGAAAGGCCAGGAACTTGCCAAAGACTGGCTGGGACTTACCACTGAGGGCTTACGACTAAATCTCCAAGCAAACCATAGGTCTCCAAACCCCTCTAAATTTAAAAACAAAACTCTTTTTAATAAAGATTTGAACTTGTATAATTTCTGTTGTTGTACCATTTCTTTTATACACTTATATATGAAATCTCTAAAAATCAAGCTTGTGTGCATTTCTTTCAATGAAACACAATAATGTGAATGGCACATGGATGTAAATAGCATCACTTCATTGCTACCTCTCTGGGGTTACAGGAGCAGCATGCTTTGTTTTAGCCTTCACTAATTAGGAATATTGTGACAATTCATTGTTAATTAAAAAAAACCCTTGAGTTGCTTTTTACTATTTTAAGCTGGCCTTATGTTAAAAACTGACAGTGTTGTTTTATCAAATGGAAGCCTAAACTTCAAGGCTCACTCTACCTCCCAGAGCAACTGTTAGAGATAAAGCCAGTTATAGGCAAGCTATAAGCAAGTTATTGGTGATAAGCAAGACATAAGCAGTTATAGTGAAGTCAATAGTTAATTATTTTTATATGAGAAAATTTCATTCTACTTTTATAAATAAGCCATATGTTAAAATTATTTAAAATGTTTTACCTAATAAAATATTTTCCCTTTTCAATGAAAAACTGAATCCCTTCTATATTTCCTTATTCAAATAAACTGAAGAGTCTTCTTGTTAAATCACTTACTGGGAGAATTAGGTTGTTTTGGAGGGTTTTTTTCCTTCACACAGAAAAGGGTTAGAACATTAAAAATTTGTTGTTTTTATTTTGAATATAGTTGCATAGAAAAGCATTTTTATGTGTAGTATTTTCAAAGATTATAATTATTTTTAAAGTTTCTGTTTTAATGAGTCATATTATAACGATAAAATAGCCATGGCCTCCCGGCCGGTGTTGCTCAGTGGGTGAACATCAACCCATGAACCAAGAGGTCACCGGTTTGGTTCCCAGTCAGGGCACAGGCCCGAGATGAGAGTGGCCAGCTCAGTCCTCAGTGGGGCACATACAGGAGGCAGCTGATCAATGTTTCTCTCATTGATACTTCTATCTCTCTATCCCTCTCCTTTCCTCTCTCTCTAAAACCAATTAAAAACATTTTTTTAAAATATAGCCATAGCTTGCACATTTTCTCTTCTCACATATGGTTTGTATGGGACCCAAATTTTTCACAACATAGCATTGTGTTGATAACTACTAGTGACAATTAAACTGTCTATTTGTACCTATGTACATATATAATACGTATCTGTATACATAGACATATGCCACATGTATATATCTATATACACCAGTATATACACACAGTCACACGCAGAAAAGCACACTTGCCTTTTATAAATATTAATTTGTAAGACAACTGTTAGGCTCCAGTGATTTCAGTATTTTGTTCATGTTTTATTAGAAATGCACATGGTTTCTGAGGTTTTTATACAAATACATGGAATGGTTGAAAGATTTATATCGCTTGTGCTTAGCTAAATATGTCATCTCTAGAAAAGATGTGGTTTATTTTGGCTCTGTTTTAAAAGCTCAAATATTTTAAACATTTGTTAAGTTGGAGCTTGCATATTTGAACTAGTAGCATAAGTTCCAGAGTAGCATCTCAGGTTACCAAACTTGGAATCCTTCTGCTAGAATAACCTTTTTGAAAAGTTTTTCCTTTTTTATTATGTACTTAAAATTTATAAAGGTTGATTTTGTTATTTTTAATGTAAAATTTCATAAATAGAATTTAACAATGATCAATGTATTTTTGAGAATGATTAAAATATTGAATGCTATTAATATTTGCAGAAATGTAATATACATATTTTATTGGGGTTTTTTTGCTGTTTTCTAGGTACAGTTTTGAAGTATGCTAGTAATTGTTAATTTCATTGTTTTAATTTTCTTGTTTTCTAAATATAGTTTTACAGTATGCTAGTACTTTGGAAGCCACCAGTTTCTCAACTAATTATTATCAAAGGTGCATTTTAATGCACAAACTCAAGTATCTAAAATACATATTTACTTTTTAGTCACATAAAATCCCCTATTGCAAATTCTACATATTTCAGTGCAGTTCTTATACATTGATCATAATCAGATTTATAAGTGTACACTCCTGAAGACAGGATATGCATTACAAAGTAGACTGCAGGAAGGCAACAGATTAAGTTCACAGTGAGACTGTACCTGACTTCCTTAACCAGTTTAATAAAGATAAAAGTCAATATGAACAAATTTGTTAAGTACCTTAGGGACCTTTCTAAACTATTTAGATATAAAATAAAAGTATAGTAATATATTAAAGAGAAACATTGTTTTTGGTAAATGGTTAGAAAAACCCTAAGGTGGGAGATCAAATTCTAATTAAAAAATAATAGACTGATTCAAGTCTACTACAAAGTACCTCTACTCATTGTGGAATGTGTCAGTGGAAGCAACAGTGAAATCTAAAAACGCTGCTTCTGTTGGGTTTGATTACTTGATCAGAAGAAGATAAACAGAAACAAACTGCATAACGCTCTATCACCTGTAGTGAACTTAGAGTTTCAATTTTAGGGTACATGGCTAAAAGAGGACCGGGTGAGGGGGTGCCATAGGAGTCTTCAGGGCAAAGATTCAACAAATTGGTAATATCTAAATTGCCATTACTGTGTATTTAAAAAAATATGTTGTCCTGCCCTGGCCAGTTTGGCTCAGTGGTTAGAGCGTCTGCTGCAGACTAAAGGGTCCTGGGTTCGATTGTGGTCAAGGGCACGTACGTCATTTGCAGATTGATCCTCAGCCCCAGTTGGGGAGTGTCCCAGAGGCAACTAATCGATGTGTCTCTCTCACACCGATGTTTCTTGGCTCTCTCTCCCTCTCTCTCCTCTCTCCTCCCCTTCACTCTCTCTGAAAAGCAGTGGAAAAATATCCTTGGGTGGGGATTAACCAAAAAGAAAGTCTTACCATGTATGGCCTTTGTGATCTTATTGTCACACATTTTACTTCTACATACGGACACAGTAATAACAATATTGTTTTTGCTTTAAGCAGTCAAATATTTTTAAGGAGATTTAAAAATAAGAACATTATTTTATATTTACCACATATTTACCATTTCCAGTGCTTTGCTTTGTGCAGATCCCAGTTTCCACCTGTTACCATTTACCTGCTTCCTCAAGTATTTATCATTTACACTAACACAGCGCTGTGAGGCAAGAATTCTTTCATCTTTTGTATGTCTGAAAATCTT